ATCAGGTGGCGCAGTTGGGGAGGCATTGTGTGCCATACTTTCCAAATCCTGTGCTAGCTTTTGCAGGCTCTTTCCTTTAGCATGGACTCTAGTCCTAAACCTAGCCCTGTAGACTTCACACTGATTTGGGTTTCATACCTGAGTTCTAGACCAGCTACCAGTGCTCTATAGTTGTGCCTGTCATCTGCTGACAACTATCCAATCATTTCCAGTGGTTGTCCCTTCAAGCTCGTTGCCAGGTACACTGCTTTCTGCTCCTCTGTCCATTCATTCATTTCTGCCAGTAGCTCAAATTGTGCTCTATATGCTTCCTATGGCGCCTTCCCATCGAATTCTTGTGGCTTCCTTCGTACTAGATCACCCCTATTGCTGACAGTCATGTCTGGAATGTGACTTCTGACAGGACTGAAGATGTCTGCATTAGGGTTTAGCTGCAGGGTCTGGAAGGAGCTCCTGTTGTCTGAAGCTGATTAGGTCGATGGCTAATACATCCTCCATGTGTAAAGGACAGTAAATCATCCTTTAATGTATTTCTTTTACTGTGAAATTTGCTAATGTTTCCCATTTGTACTTCTTGCCACTGTTAGTGACTTTCCTGTAGTTGCTGCTGACTTTCCTGCAACTGTTGAGGACTTTCTTCCTGTTTCCTTTCTTGTTTCAGTTGCCACTGCTGTAATTTCTCTTCTTGTTTCTTTTCTCGTTCTTTTTGTTTCTTTTCTCGTTCTTTTTGTTTCTTTTATTGTTCTTCTTGTTTCTTTTGCTGTTCTTCTTGTTTCTTTTGCTGTTCTTGTATTGTTGCCATCAAATCTGCTAAACTGTAGTTTGATTTGCCGCTTCTCGTTTCCATCTTGTTTTTTTATCCCACTCTCTGACATCAATTTGTTACATCTCTGCTTGTTTGATAATTTCCCGTAAAAATTCTTTTTGAGGAACTTCAGCGATACAAGTCCTTTCTTAAATAAAACTAGTTTATTCTTCTTTCAATACAACTTTGCAATACACAGAATTTCCATAGTCACTTAAACTTAAACACACGCTATAATTCACAACGATTTACACACTTTACTTATGGCTTGACTCGATTATCTCCGTTATCAATTTATCTGCCGACTTATATACTTAAAAGAGGGCGTCTAGCAAACGCTGGGACATTCGTGAGGTTCCCCGATCCTTCTAGAATCTCATCACGTGTTACCAGAGTCACGTGACTTCCGCTGTCGTAACATTATGAACCTTTGTATCATTTTATATTTTAACGATTATTTCTACCTTAATTCCATTGTAACATGGTCTTTGATGTCTGACGAAAGGCGTCTATTTGAAACGTCGCAGAGAATAAGCTGGAAGTTTTCATTTAAACGAGTCAATTTATTCTTTATTATCATTTATCCAAGTTAGCTAAATCAGTTAGTAATTTCTGCATAATGATTTGTTGTTGATGATGATGCTAGTATAATTTATAGTAACTTTGTTTTAACTTAAATGATTCATTTATTTCTGTTTTAGACACAAGGTGTTATTGTGGTATATCAAAGTGAAACTGAGCAAACTTTATAGCTATATCACATTATTCCACTAGATAACAGAAGTTTCACTTAAGATATAGGTTACCGAGTAGTACAAGATA